TCTTGGCCGCGTTGACGGGCAGGTGCTGCGCCGTGAGCATGGAGACCAGCTGCCCCCGCCTCGCTGAGCTTTTGCACCACCAGGCGCTCGGCGTCAATGGCCTGCAGGAACGTCGTCGACGACATCCTTAGGGCAGATAAGCCGTGCCATGGCCACGCAGCGCGGGCTCTGGTAGCTAACCAGTAGCCCCCCTTCAACAGCTTCAAATTGAAAATGTGCTTCGCCGCCGCTTTCCAGAGCCTGTCATGCCGCGCGCCCCCGTAGATCTTCGAGGTGTCCACGAGCAGGGGCGCAGCCGCCATCCCCCGTCCTTGGGCGCATGACGCGGCCGCGTTGCGCGCGCAGCCTGCGCGCTCACATCCACGGCCTCCGCGCCCCCCAGGCCAAAGGAGGGGAAGTTGCGGGCCCCTTCCCACTAGCTGCGCACAGGCAAGCGCAGGCGGCTCCACAAGCGAAGCGTCGGCGGCAGCGGCGCGATCGACCTGGCGCCGCCTGAGGGCTCCGAAATGAACGCTATCATGGTAGCAGCCGACCAGACATTGCAGGGGGCGTCCTCGAACTCCTGCATGAAGTCTAGCAGCCTCTCCTGCAGCGCCGTCGGCAAGAGGGGGATCTGGCGCGGGTGGAACCCGCCCGCCCCCGGCCCGCACTGGGGGGAGTAGCGACGGCAGCACTCCCTCCGGCCCTCCAACGTCAGAGGGGGTAGGACAGCTCCTCGCGCGCCCCGCGTCTCGACGCCTCTGCTGGCGAGGGAGCCGTCCTGGAGCCACTGGCGCTGCCACTCCTGCCTGAACTGCAGCGCGGAGGCCACCCCTGCCAGCGGCCGCCCAGAGTCAAGGCCGCGGACGGCAAGAGGGGCGGCGGCGCTGGCGAAGCGGCGCGCCAGACGCCCGCCTCGCTGGACCGCCACCTCAGCCCGCCCCCTCCGCCCCGCCTGCGACCTGCTGGCATCGCGGCGACGTGCCGCTGCAAGCCGCCCACGTAGCACGATGACTGCCTCGGCGACGCCCTTCGCGCACGAGTCGTGGATCAGCTCCTCCCAGTCGCCACCGATGTCGAAGTCGTGCCCGCTGCTGGCCGCAACCTCCAGGCCAGTGACCAGGCGCTTGCGGCGCCTGTTGGCCTCGGTGCTGTGCCATCCCTCGTGCGACGCATGGTAATTACTTCTCCGCCACCTCTGCCTCGGTGCGCCGCTGCGCGAGGTCGCTCAAGCAGCGCCGCTTGAATGAGTGACCGCGGCATGGAGCGCCCGATGTCTGCGTCTCGTCGGGGCGCTTATCGGCTCGAGGACCAGGGCGGGCCCTCCTCCTCGTTCGCACTGCTGGCCCCGCTGCTACTTGTCGATGTCGTGGATGCCGATCAGCGCCCCTTCTTTCGCTGCCCTCAACTCCACTGTCGCGGGCCGAGCTCCAGGCTGCCAGGCCGCCCCCCCCCCTGGCTGCCAGCGCCACTCGGGGGGGCCTCGCTGCCACTGCCCCGATCGGCCAGGTCGAAGGACAACCTCGACCCTCGCATCTTCCCGGGATTCGCAGGCCTTGATGTCCCAACGCGGCAAAGGCCGAGGCTTCTTCAGGACCTGGACCAAGGCACCAGGCCTCACGTTCTGGAGAGGGCGCCCCACGCGCGCGCGCGCGGGTGAAGCCCCGGGCCTGGCACGGGACGACAGGCACTCGCCGCGCACGCGAGGTCCTGCGACGCCACGAACCAGTCAAATGTCTCCCCCTGCTTCTCCGCGAAACACATCGGGGCCCAGGCCCGACGGCAACTCCGTTGTGACGCACTTGCCAGCTGAGCTCCGGCTCGGTCGCTGGCTCCATGTTGAAGTCTGCCCGCAGGGGCCGCGGCATGCACCCAGCTGCCGCGGTGAGCTGTGCCGCCGCTCGCAGCAGGTCGAGGTTGCCCGCGCTCGCCCCGATGGTGTGCTCGAAGTAGGCCGAGGCGACCACGAACTCCAAGCCCGACGGCATCATCACCTCCACTCCCAGCAGTCGGTGAGAAAGGCTTGCTGGCACCATCCAAGGCACCCCCCTCGCCGCCAATTCCTTGCGTCCCGGGAGGGAGATCCCCCCCCCGAGGCGCAGCTGGCCCCGGTGCCCACCGTGGCCTTGGCGGCGTGGTGGAAGGCCGTGTAGCCATGAGGGCCCAGGGCTCCAGCGGCGCCAGATGCGGAGGCCATCTCGCTCGGCGCCAGGAGCCTGGTCTCATGGAGGGTCACGACATGCGGCCAAGCACCTACCAGGCGCGCTTTCCCAGTCGGCCAGGGCGCCGTCACCTCGCGGGCCCGACTGGCCGAGGAGCAGGCCCACCTGGCCGCCGCGCCTCGGCCCTGGGAGGGAGCACGCATGGCCGACCTCGAAGTCAAAGGCCTGGCTGCCCCACTGCTGCGGATCCTGCTGCACTGCCGCCGCCGCACTCGCCTGCAGGTGCAGGCCGCACATGGCCCCCTCTCAACGTCCGACACAAGGCGCCTGGCCGCCTCCGAGGCGCAAGGCCACGGCCCCGCGGCTGCCCCGAACCGCTCACCCTGGCCTCGCATGGCCGCAGGCTGGGCTGGCCAAGCCCGTCGGGTCTTGGCCCCTTGTCGGCGGCTGAGGCGACGGGGGCATCGTCGTCGCCGATGTCCAGCTCGTCATCGATGGGGCAGCTCTCCGCCCAGGACTCGCACGGCGGCGGCGCGCTGGCCAGAGCGAGCTGCGCCGCCACTGCCGACGCCTGATTCTCGATCTCCGACCACGCGCACTCAAAGTTGCCAGCGCGATGCGCAGCCTGCATGCCTCGGAGCTACGTGAGGAGCCCAGGCACATAGCTGCGCTCGGCGAGCTCCGCCGCCTGGCGCAGCCGCTCGGCCCCCGCTGCTGCTTGGATCTCGGCATCCAAGCGGCGGAAAGCTCCCTCGTCCTCCTCCAGCTCGGCGTCGAGGGCGGCGAGCTGCTCGAGGAGCTCGCGCGCCTCCCGCTTGGCCGAGAGGTCCTTGCGGTCCCTGCCGAAGCGCTTCTCCGCCTTGCCCACGGCCCGCGGCGTTGGCCTCCCTGCGAGGGCGCGCGGAGCGCGGCAGCCCGGCAGCCTTGGCAACCTCCGCCGCAGTGCGGGCCTCCTCGAGCTCGCCTCGCCCGCGGACCAGCCAGGCCTCGATCTCCGCAACGAAGCTGCTGGACACCCCCAGCGGGGGATGCTCGCGCAGATCTTCTACCGCGGGGCCCCGCTGCGGTTGTCTGGGAGCCCGCAGACAGCATCCGGAACGCCCCCACTTGAATGCGAATCCGTATTGCCACCCATCATGCTGCACTCACTCCGTCAACTCGCGCGCGTTGTCCTCGCCCGCGCCTGCTGGGAGGGTGCCCTCGGCGCAGATCGCCTCACTGGTGGGGCGGTCTGCGCTCTATTGAAAACCGAATCGCACGAATCGGCGCTTGGCGTCGTGCATCAGGACGGTCATGCCAAAAGGCTAAGACGGCAACAAATGGCACAGTTGATTCGCCCCACAAGCTCTTGTAACCATGTTTCTAACGTGTCCGCGGCCTTTCGGACACTGGAGCGGCGTATACAATCATCTGATTTCGCTGCTGCAGCGAAGTTCGCAGGTGTTCCAGGTCGCACTGGCGCCTGGACCAGCCTGTCGGGCGACAGGCTGCCAACGGCCTTCGCACGAAGTGGAAGCCGAATTGACTGGCCCAGATGTGGTTCTCTGCGCCCGCCCGCTTCAGTCGTCGCAAAATCAATCGATGCGCGCAGCGTGTACCCAGCGTGTGTATATATATATATATGTATACATATATATATATATATATATATATATATATATACATACATACATGAATTGCCTATATAGGTGGCAATATCCGAGCCCTACCCCACCAACCATCGATCCTCCTGAATCAATGAGAGATTCGCCCACGTGCTCGACGAACTCCGAACCCTATCCCAGCCGCCCATCGAGTTGCCTGAACCGTCGATCGGCGAATGAAGGGCTCGGATTTCGCCGCCGACATAACTGGCTAGTTACTCCGACGCGTCGACTTTACAGCTGTTTCATGCCAGGCTTCGGGAATGGACCGCTCTATCCAGCACCGGCTTCACATAAACACCCCACCACATGCAAGCCAGCTCGTCATACCTGCACAAGGTCTTCCATAAGTCAACAACGACGCAATTTCTGCCGGGGGCTTTGTTGCGTTTGAGAACACGCCCTGCTGAACCCACTTCCTTTTCCCCTTGCGTCCATGACGCAGTTATTGTTGATCCGTCTCCGTAGGATGACCCAACGGAGGGCAACAAACTCCGCCCAGACAGCCCGACGAACCCGGGCACCGCCCCAACAGGCCTCGGGAAACCCACACTGGACCTCCTAGGATACCTCCAGGGAGCGCCATGCTTAAACAAAAAGTGTCACACAAGGGCCTTCAAGGTGCCTGCGGTTGGCCTCCGGCCGATTGAGCCTTTCAAGAAACGACTTGGTGGTCACGGAGGTCCAAGGCAACCGTTAGACGGCCCAGGACAGGCCCTGGACGGCCGCAAGACTCTCCCAGACGGCTTCCAGGAACACCAAATGGCCTCCAGACCCTCGCCCATCAGCCCCAAGACCCTCGAAGACAGACCCCAGACCCGCAAAATCCAGAGAGGGCTCTGATAGTTCCAGAAAAAGTCATCAAGAGAAAGCACGACGTCCAGGCAACGTCACAGCCGCTTCACTCATCAAAGTGCTGCGGAGCTTCCCCAATCGCGGTGACCAGCATGTGCGGCAATGCAACCTGGTAATGACGCTTAGTTGTGATCACTCCTTGAGCATTGCGCGAGCCATCTACGGCAACTGTGTTCATCTGCAGTGTTTCCATGGCCCACGAACACTCCCCAATTGTCCATGCCCCTCGTCTAAACGTCATCCTTCTCCTCCTTCTCCTTCTCCCCGTCCTCTCGATAGGCCTTGCCTTCCTTTTCGAATCCACATCCGTCCTCCTCCAACTCTGCTTCTGTCTCCGCCACACTCGCCCACCCCCTATATCGCCAAATCCCTGACCGCTCCTTCCCTTCCGGGGAGGCCCGCCCCGCCCCGTCGGAAGTCCGCAACTCAGCCGGCTCAGCCCGGCAGTCAGAGCCACGAGGCCTTCAGCCTGGAGGACCCCAGCATCTCGCTGAGGAGCTCCTCGGCCTTCTTCTCTACCATGTGTTTCTTGGCCGCCTGCGCGGTCGGCGGATGCCCCACCTGACCCGTCCTCCAACCTACCTCCCTCCCCGCTCCCTCCCTCACCCGTCCCTCCTCGCTTCTTCATCCCGCCATTCATCCTCTCCTCCCTGTTTCCCCCGCGCTCACCCTCTCCGTCCTGTCCGTTTTCCTCCTGCTCACTTTTTGTCCTCCTCCGCCTCCCTCATCCGTGTTCCAGTCCACCCTACCAAAACTCCGAGTGGGAGCGGCGGCGGCTGGCGAAATGTGAGAGCGGTATCCTTCAACCCGCTCACCACTGCCCCGCCAGGCAGACTCCAGGACATCGGCCATATATATATATACATATATATGAGCGCCACGACTTCATCATGCTGCAGGGTACGGATATAAGAATGTCAAAGGATGCCACCCCGTTCCGAACTCCCTCGCCAACTCATTGTTCTGCATTCAGGTGACGACAAGGGAACGCATTCAGCTTGTGGTGTAGCCATCGGTGTCAACGTGCGAAGATATAAGACCCAATACATAATTCGAATAACCATGGCGACGGGGAGACTCCAAGGACAAGGTACGATGGTCAGATACAGGCTTGGCAAGCAAGATGCAGCCGTTGTGGTCCCTACCTCGGCTCTGCCTAGAAGGGTTCTTACTCTCTGAGCTTAAAGGGGCCGGGCAATGCAACTCGCCCCGGGCGGTTCCCCTGGCATCCGCCCCGCGGTTCCCTCAGTTACGCCCCCTGGGTTCACCCAGCTTGCCTTAGCTTAGCTTAGCTTAGCTTCTCTCATCTCATCTTAGCTTAGCTTAGCGTTGCTGTGCCTAACCTAGCTTAGCTTAGCTTAGTCTGGCTTAGCGTATCTCATCATAGTTTAGCTTAGCTTAGCTTAGCTGGGCTTAGCTTAGCTTAGCAAATCATAGCTTACCTTAGCTTAGCTTTGCGCAGCATAACTTAGCGCAGCATTAGCACAGCATAGCATAGATATCATATCATAGCCAATCATAGCATAGCATGGCTCAGCATAACATAGCATAGCATACCATAGCGCAGCATAGCCTAGCATAGCATAGGATATCATAGCATAGCATCGCATTGCTTAGCACAGCACAACACAGCGCAGCATAGCATAGCACAGCACAGCATAGCGCAGCATAGCATAGCATAGCATAGCATAGCATAGGAGTAGATGTAGATGCAGGTGTAGATGTACATGTAGCTGTCGGTGTAATTGTAGATGTTGCTTTCCTAAATGCTCCAACTCCTAGGTAGGGTCGCACTGGGAAAATTCGTTGTATTGCCCCACACGTGGCAAAAGACGAGGGGCCGTTCCAATTAATAAAGCCGTGGCGAATCAATTAACACAATGGTTCAATGAACGATTGAATACATTTCCGTCAAGACGCATTCCCATCATAGGCACGGACCTGAGCAGCACGTGCGGAAGGGATCTCACTCTTCCGCGGGCACCGGGCAGCATCGAGGCGGACAGGGACGGAGTCAACTATGGCATCATCAAACCAGTACTCAAGGCGCACGTGCTCATCCTGGCCAACACTTGTTTCGAGGCTGGAATGACGTATTCCCAAACTGACCACAACGTGAGACGCATAATAGACTATGTCATTGTTCCTGCTGCAGTGCTGGACAATATCACGGAATGCATGGTCTCTTGGCGGAAGGGTAAACGATTACAGTATATCAGGTGTGTAGCGCCCAAGAACCACTTTCCCTTTACGGTGGCCTCCATGCACTCATATGAGCATATACACATGCTGCCTCAGAGGCTCCAACCCAAGAGGGAGGCTTGCAATGCTATGCTGCTTCGTGGCTATCACAGGGCGAACTTCATCGCGCTTGTTGAAGCAGCACTCGAACCTCACATAAATGAGTTAAAGTCATGGGAGTATGATGGCAATGTCGACGTGATCAATGCAAGACTTATGCAAACCATCACCAGTGGCAGCGGGCATGCTCCAACAGGCGCTGGGATATTCTGAACAGAAGGAGGACGCATTCAGCATGAGCAGTCAGGTCACACAACCACTTGAGAAGCGTCGACAGGCCAGAGAACGAGAACAGCGAGATGATGACCTCAATCTGGAGGTCTCGAGGCTCAGCTGCAAGTTGAAACAAAGAAACACGAACTGCAGGAAGCACGACTTCAGGACCGAGTTGAAGCTTCGTGGGAGGCATGGAGGGAGCGCAAGTCCTACGACGCGCATCGTATTGCTCGATTGCTTGCTGACACATGCAGGGGACCACGGGGACGGCATTACAGCAGAGTGCCCACATCCAGAGCTTCAGCAATCGAGTGGATCAACTAGTTCCAGAAAGAAGAGAATACTTAATGAGTCAGATGACGCCATCGACTACCAGACAGCACACCAACAAGCCTTGCTGGACATTGTGACTTTGAAGAGAGCGGTGGAGAAGCTACCCTCCTGGAGGGCCACGGCATCGTGGCCCTTCATGAGCTAGGAGGGGCCCAAAACAAGCACAACCAATCTAATCTAGTCCAGCAAGCTGGCCGCCAACCAGGGATTCGGAATCGAAAGTTTCATGAACATACGGTTTCACTGGAGGGGCAGGGTTTTTCGGGAACGAAGTATCTTGGAGGCCGTCCGCACTATGACAATGGGTTCTCGGCGGAGAAGAAGTTTCGGATACAGGGCCCCAATGCGGCCTGGCACAAAGTGGGCAAGTGCTAGACCACTCCCAAGATCTACCAACGGTTCAAAAGCATCGTTGTCTCGGGGCTCATCTTGAATGCGGCACTCTCGGGATTAGAAGCGTTCGTCCTCAACGCGCGGAGCCCGATCACTGTGAGATCCATGGAACCCCTGCAACAGCTAGTCTACAAGTGCGCTCGAGTAGTGCCCCGAGGCAAGCACACCACGAGGCAGCTAGACAGAAACAGGGCCCCAACGAATCAAGACGTTCGAAAACATCTTAGACTAGGAACCCTCTTCACGGAGCTGAGGGTTCGGCGGTTGAAGTGGTTGCAGGACATGCCGTGGCACCAGAAAACACATGAGCAACCGATTGCAAAACTATGAGGTGGAGCTTACCGTGAAAACGCCCCCCTCGACCTCGACCCCCACGGGCAGGCTCTCGGAGACCACACTGCCCTATTCAAAACGAATACCCAACCAAGGAGAGTTGGGAAAAAATACTATCCCCCCCGAAAGTTGCACGAAGTGTAATTCGGAAGACGCCAGCCCGTCGGGTTTGGCAGTGTTCGTGTAAGACGGCGGCCAGCTGGGGGAGGAGGAGGCGGAGGATGGGGGAGGCGGAGGGGGAGGAGGAGGAGGGGGAGAAGGAGGAGGAGGAGGACGGACCCAGATAGAAGAGCGCGCCGAGTTCGGGTGACGGACGTGGCGGGGCGGTGGGAAAAGAATTGGAGGAGGAGGAGGAGGAGGAGGCGGAGGAGGAGGGGGAGGAGGAGAGGGAGGAGGAGGATGGGGAAACGGAGGAGGAGGATCACGAGGAGGAGGAGGAGGAGGAAGAGGATGATGATGATGATGATGATGAGGAGGAGGAGGAGGAGAAGGAGGAGGAGGAGGAGGAGGGAAAAATGGAGGAGGAGGAGGAGAATACCGAGGAGGAGGAGGAAGAACGGAACAGAAGGACCCGCGGGGGAGTACGATGATGATGATGATGATGATGATGATGATGATGATGATGATGATGATGATGATGATGATGATGATGGCGATGATGACAATGAGGAGGATGAGGAGGACGAGGAAGAGGAGGAGGAAAAAGGAAGAAGAGGAGGAGGGAGAGGGGCGGGAATAAATAGAGGCGAAAGGGAGGGCGATGGCTCTGGGAGCTGGGCGGCCAAAGGGGGGAAGGGGGGGGGGGGCGGCTCACCCCAGCTCCATTAAAGGGGAGGGGGGAGGGGGGGGGGGAGCTTGGAAGCCCCCCCCCTTTCCGGCCAGGAAAAAGGGGGGGGGGTAGCTTCCGAAGCCCCCCCCCCCCAAAGGGGGGGGGGGCGGCTCACCCCGGCTCAATTAAAGGGGGGGGGGGGTAGCTTGGAAGCCCCCCCCCTTTCCGAACCACGAAAAGGAGGGGGGGGGGCTTCCGAAGCCCCCCCCCCCTCTAGCAAGGAAGAAGGGATGGGGGCGGCTTCAAGCTGGGGCCCCCTTTTAGTCTATCTGGCCCCACGCGCGCGCTCTATCTCAGCTCCGCCCCCCCCATCCAGCGGGTCGATCAGAAGAAAAAACCCGGCCCATTCGCGGGGGCGCCAAATGCGCGCGAGCGTGACCTGAACGGGCGCATGGCCATTGACTTCGCGCTTGAAGAGGAACTCGCGCGGCTCCACCACCGAACCTCGAAACCGAAAACGGGGCAAAGAGAGGGCTGGGCCCCTGGGTTTCGGATTCGACAATCTCAGCCAATAACCCCGTGAGGACCGAATCGGCAGCTCTGCCAGTCCTGCAGATTTGTCTGGGGCGCCTCATCTACCTCGGCGCCCGGCTCCTTCCTCGGCGGCCAAGCTGCGAAGATAACCGCTGACCAGGGCAAGAGCCTTGGTCGGAAACTCCAGGGCGCACTCTTGATCCGCGGACACCTAGATAGGACTGTCATCCTTCTCCTCCTTCAATAACTTGTAGTTATGAATGCTGCGTTGCACGATCATGGCGCCATGGGCCATCTGTTCAACGAGCTTGAATAGCCCCACCTTGCACTACCTCCCGAACGTTGATTTGTGTGGGCCCGATCTCCGAGATGTTCAAACCTTTGATAGAGGGCGCTGGCGCCTCTTGCCGGCACTTGCACGCGATGATGCGCAGCGCGCGTACTGATCGATCGTACTGCTGGCAAAGAAAATCTTTCATCTCTAACGAGCTGCCACGGGGCCCCTGCGCCGCGGCGATGGAACCAGGGGGAAAGGGGCCGTCGGAGAAGAGCAAGCTTGGGCTCGCGAAGGGCAGGGGGGTGGTGAAAAAGAGAGCTCGAGCATTCCACGTCGTCAAAATAAGAGGCCACTTAAACTGTCGCGGCCCTTGCCGCTGCCGCAACATACTGTTGCACCGACCACTGCGCGGGCGCAGCTGACTGGCAAACTGCTTGGAACTTGGAGAGCACGGCGTTCTCATCGATGTTGAGTTCCTGCATTTTGGCCAAGTACCACTCGACCTTCGGAGGTTCGTCCCCTCTGAGAGGCGCGACCTTCGCGAACGCTCTCCAATTCGCCGAGACCCCCCCTTCTGCTCGTCACTGAAGCACTTGTATCCAGCCGCCGTCGCCTCGAAAGCGCGACGCAGCTGCGTGACCACCAACTCCTTCTTGACCATGGCCGGCGACCGGTTGTCAGCGCAGGCGAAAAGCTCGGCCCGCTGGCCAAGTGCATCCGCTGCCGCATGACGCTCCCGTTCCCCCGAAGGAAGACGAAGAGCACCGATCGCCTCGGCCGCCTACCGACGCGCGCAAGCGGCCCTCCTTGACCCTGACGGCGAACTTCTTGCCCAGAGGTTCGGCGGTGAGCTGGTAGTCGTCCCCGCCAATCGGAGCTCGCTGGAACCAGAGCTCAAGGCCGCGCTCCACCTCCTCGCGAGTGGCCACTGTCTTTCGCCTCGCCACAAGGATGCACGGGTCGATGTGCCTGTTGAACGACGAATCCAGGACGGCGGCCTGCGGCTCCTGCGCTTTGACGCAATCGAGGAGGGTACGTAGTTCATCAACTTGCTGCTTCAGCTCGCTGACTTTTGCATCTGACATGTTCGGGCGGTGCTCGATCTCGGCGAAGCGAACCTCCACATTCTTGTTGGATGTATCGCAGCTGGTGCCGAGCGACTTGCCGAACGAATTAACGACGAATTCCTGGAGCTTGCCAAGAGCCTCCATGAGTTCGGAGCGGGCACTGTCAACGAAGCCACGAAGCTGAGCCACGGCAGCCGTAAGATCACTCTCATCACCACGCCTGGCCAGCTTGTGCGGACTCTCTGTCCCGCCTGGGGCGTCCCTGGCATCGCGCGGCGTCCCCTGGGACGGGAAGGTGGACGCGGCGTCGAGCGCTCCATGCTGTTGGCGCATCGCGCTGCGATGCGGAGCCAAAACGGATCCACAGCTCCTGAAGTTTCGGTGGAGATCGAATGCGAACAAGCTAGCGGGACTCGGGCAACCCCTTCGCCTGCCGCCAGGGCGAGCGGCTTCAACTTGAGCCAAAGTGGCTACGGACCTTCTCCTCCTCCTCCTCCTCTTCCTCCTCCTCGTCCTCCTCCTCCTCCTCCTCCTCCTTCTCCTCTCCTCCTCCTCCTCCTCCTCCTCCCTCCTCCTCCTCCTCCTCCTCCTCCTCCTCCTCCTCCTCCTCCTCCTCCTCCTCCTCCTCCTCCTCCTCCCCCTTCTCCCCCCACCACATTCACTCGTCCTCTTCCCGTGCTCCTTCTCTGGAGCCCCGTAGACAACCCCAGAACGATTAAATGCATCCAGCAACCTCTTCACTCGCTCCTTTGTAACGCGTCACGTTCCGTAGGTAAGTCAATGACCAAACCTACAGCAAGGGGGTTCACCGCCAGATCCTATGTCTGGCAACCCCAAGCAAACTCAGTGTCCCCTTCCTACGTCCATGCCTGCGACCTCTCCTTCATATTGTTCCCTCATCATTCCTCCTGCTCCCCCTCCTCCTCCATCCGCTCCTCAGGCAGATTGGAACGGCACACCAAAGAGAGTGTCGACATCTGAGAGCAGTGAGACCGCAGCCTCAAGAATGTCAGAACGCGCGGCGCGCCTGTCTGAGCGTTGCGCCAGGAGTGCTCCGCGTGTAGAGGATGGAGGGCCGGCCCGTCGCTGCCTTGCAACTCTATTTTCTCGGCGTGCGCCAGAAGTGTGACACGAGTGAAGGAAGAGGGCAGGTGCGAATTGAGATGCTTGTCGGCTGGCCTGTCGCGACCTTGCTCTCTTTTTCGGGTTCCTTCTCGAATGGCCTTGCGATACTGTTGCTGGCTAAGTAGATCCGCCACTTGGATGTATCACCTTCACAGTGGGGTTGGCAGATGGTTGTGACGATGGCGTTGTCTCAGGCAAGGTTTACACGGGAGCTACCCGAGATGTCCTACGTGTGCGTATAATACGACTGGTGCTTCTCAGGTTATTCCCACGGTATTCCTCCTCCATCCTCGAGGGGGGCCCACCTCCGCCTTGCACTCGACCGTATCCTCCTCGATATCCTTGTCGTGTGCCTCGGTGCCCAGCAGCCCGCCTATGCGATCCTGCGCGGAGAGGAGCGCAAGACTGTCGTCATCCTCGCCCTCTTCTCCCGCCTCCTCCTTCTCGCCCTCCTCGTCCTCCCTTCCTCCTCCTCCTCCTCCTCCTCCTCCTCCTCCTCCTCCTCCTCCTCCTCCTCCTCCTCCGGCCCCTGGTTCGGCCCAATCGACCGCACGTCTCTGCGCCCCACGCCCTGCTTGGGCGGCTGGATGGCGCAAACGCCTGAAGCTGCGGCGCCTGCGATCACGGCATCCCTCGCGGAGGACGCGGTCGGGGGAGCTGTGCTGGCCAGGGCGTCGAGGCGCATCGCGGTGGCAGTTTCGCGTTCGTCCATCTCCGCTGCCGATGCCGTCGTGGGATTCGGCCTGGAGTCCGACGAGTAGGCCGGCGCCCTGCAGCCGCGCCCCGGGGTCGGCGGCGGTGGCCGGAGGGCGCGGAGCCGTTGGGCCTGCGCAGCTCACTGGGCCGCAGGCGACTGGACCGGCGAAAGTCACTGCCGCGAGGCACGGGATGCCGCTCGGCGACGGCGAGGACGTCGTCGTCAAGATGGCGGACGCGCGCCTCGCCCTGCTGGCCGTGCTCGTCTGGCACGCCGGAGTCGCACTCAAGGGACCTGTGCACGGCGAGGGACTGTTGCGCGGCGGGCGAGGTCACCAGGGCATCAGCGCGGGCCGCAAATTCTGGGTCAGCAGGTGGTGCGCGAGTTCTATACCGTAGTTCCGTATGGAAATGAAAAGCAGCTGCCATCGCAGACGCGTGTGCTGTCAAGGACTTAGTCGACGGCGAGCTGAACGCGACGATTCGGCGAGACGCGCTCGAAGAGAAGACTCGTCGAATGCCCTTCCCTGCGCGTGGAACGGCTTGATCTGCTTCATACATGACTTGATCCAAATGGCGAATACCAACTTGTGATCCCTCCCCTGGCTAGTGCAAAGCTATGTGTGCCCCGAAAACTGTTTAAAATCACGCGCGCCACAGGATGGCGTCTGACCCCATCTTCGACGAATGGACAACCACGTGCCGCGTGGAAGCTGGCGTTGCCTCCCTCCTCTCTCTCCCTCCTCTCCATCTCTTCCTCCTCTCCCGCCCCCTCTGTCTCCCAGAGCCCTACATCTATGGTTTGTTTTGGCCCAAGCTCCAAGCCCTCCCCTGGCCGTGATGCCGCCGCGCCGTTCTGAACACGACTGCAGGCAGCGTGCGCCTGACTGAGACTGGCATGCCGCCCCAACTCGATCTCTTGTTCTGAAGCTGGGCGCGTTGGATTTATTTGCTGCTTACACGATCCACAAGCTGACATCCCCGAGCGGGGGGAGACGAGGATCATCAACAACGCTACTCTCGAAACGACGTTCCTCTCGTCCTCCTCCTCCGTCTCTGACCTCCCGGACCCCCGCACACGGGGAAACCGAAAAGTACTGCCATCACCCAACCATATCCCGAGTTCCGTACGGACCAGAATCTCGAGACGAATCCAGCCTTGGCGACGAAGACCTGCCAGGAGGCCCAAAAAACATAAAAAAAACGAAAGGTCTCGGTTTCTCCTCTCAGTATAACTTCCTTCGTAGTCAGATTTAGACTCTTCCAGAGGCTGCCCTCCTCTGGTGGCGCGCGCAGCGCAGGAGGGGGGGGGCGCGAGGGGTGCGGTCCTCTGAGAAAGCACGGAGCCTCCAGAAGGACCGTCTAAGGACCCACAACGGCATCGAAGACGGCTTCGGAGCCGCTGGCTCTTCGAAGCCGCTTCGAGGCTGGAAGGACTTCCTTAGAAGGCCTCTAAAACAATGGGGCCCTCATGGAAGGACCCAGCGGCTCCAAGATGGGCGTATGGAAGTCCCCCAGGCCCTTCCAGGAGGACTCCTGTCCTCTGAGAAGCTCCCCGCTTCTGTCCTTTTCCTGAAGACACCCCCTCGCGCCAACCCCTTGTACATGCCGCCGACTGCTCCTTCCCCCACTCCCTCCCCCCCCCCGCTCCTCCCACAAAAATGGGCGCAAGCAAACACAGACAAAGAGACACACATTCCACGATGTTTGTTATCTTTTCATATGTTCTGGAGCTTCGTCTTCCCCTCAACTTCCCATGTGTTCCAACACATTCCTGGGAATATACGTTGAATTGTCTACCGCCTGACGCGGAAGACCGGCGAGGGCCCCAACCTTCAGACGGGAGCCTCGGGGAGCGGTGCCCGAGCTGGCTCCGACGACTCGTCACGGCGGGAACAACGGTGTTGCAGGCTGCCCCGAATCGCGGATCGATCGACCCGTCGCGCAATTCAAACCGATAGAATCCTCCCCATTCTCCCACTCTTCAGCCCGTTCTCCTCCCCCTCCTCCATCTCAGCCGCCACCTCCTCATCCCCCCTTTTCCTCATCCTTTCCTTCCTGTCCCCAGTCGGCCTAAAAACCACCGAGAGAGGAGGCATTCTGGACAACACTGCGCAGAAAACGCTCGCCAATCCTGGCCCAGCTTGGATATGTGCCGCATGTCTATGTTCAGAGCCTGGTGGGCGGCCTGTGAGATGAGAATGGTTGCCTACCGCGTGCGGGGGGGGGACGTGGAGGAGGAATAGCATGCAGATGTTCATGACGGGGGAGGGGGAGAAAGAGAAATAGAGAGAGAGAGATAACACAAAACACCCGCACATCAACGCATATAACACGAGGGAAATAATGAAAGAGCGAGATAGCGACAAACAAATCCATAGATAGATCGTGAGAGAGAGAGAAATAAAGAGAGAGAGAGAGAGAGAACAGAGAGAGAGAGATAAACAAAACAAAGAGACAGAGAGAGATATTGAGTGAGAGAGAGAGAGAGGAACGCGAGAGAGGATAGATGGTAGAGGGCACACCAGGTGCGCTCGCGCTACAGTCGGTGTCCTGCCCAGCCCGCCCTTCCATTCCCCTTGCGCCGATGTCCTTACAATTCGTTGAGTCGTGTGTCGGGTGCCGATGTTGCATCCCCATTGCGCTGAATTCCCAAGTGTGTCAAACCACCTTGGGCGCATAAAAACACATTCGGTATCCCACCGCGATTGCACGACGCATCGTCACGCTTTAGCACAATTCGCCTCGAAACTGAAAATATCAAGGTCATGTTCGTGATGCTACCATGCCCCGAGGCACATGGAACGCTGCCAAAAGACTGCAGGGGGCCCGGACTCCGAGTCACAAGCGCCCCTGGCCACTCTCGAGAAGAACCGCGTGTTTCTTTTTCACGGGCCTCGGGTGCGAGAGCGGGGGTCTGAAGCTCGAACATGCTCCAAGATGGTTTCATGCGCCCATGCTGTTGCTCTCCGGGGGGCACCTCGGGCCGCCTCGGAGACCCTGGAGGCCAACTCGAGAGGCCAAACTCATGAAGGCCATCGTGCTTGCATGACGTTCGCGCGCCCGGCCCCGTGGTCGTGAGAACGCCTCGAGCGGCGAGAGGCCCCGTAGATCGCCCCAAAAAGGCCCCAGATTCTGGCCCAAGAGGTGCCCATACGTCCTCAAGATGGGCCCAAAGGGGAGCGCGAACTGACACTTGGAGCCCCCCACCGCCAAATGGCACCCCCTCACCGCCTTCGGACCACCAAAAATTCCCACATATACCCGGAAGACTCCACGTATTCGAGGCCCCCGAGACGCCCTAAATAAGCGCCCAAAGCGCTCCCGGGAGGCCTCGGCGGGGTGCCCGGCGCGCCGAAGTTTTGAAGGCCCCAATAATGTCATGCCGATTTCGATTTCGACGGGCCTCAGGCCCAGCCCGCCGGCCGCGCGGACAGCCCCAGGCGAGGTGTCAGGCAGCGGCCCCCCGCCCAGGGCGGCTCCAAGATGACCTCCAAGACGGCCAAGATATCCCCCCAGGCGGCTACAGCGGTTTCGCGAGAGCCCAAGATGACCCCGACATGTCTCCAAGCCAGCCCAAGTTGCGCCCTGAATGGCCCAAGGTGGTTGATCAAGACGGCCCAAGGGGCCCGCGGGAGGAAGAGGCCTTTAAGGCGACCCAAGAAGCCCTCAGGAGGACCACCAGGAGGCAGAGCATTATTCTCTGTGTTTTCAATGATTTGAACGTTCCCCCCTCGTCGACCACCGGCCCCCAAGATCGCCCCAAGACGGCCACGGATGTTGGCGGAATCGGCGCAGCAGTAATATCAGGAAGTTCCGACGATGATATATCTCTCACCACAGCAAGATGAACCTTATAAGGTAACAGTCACCACGGCCTCGCTAGCCGTGCAGAAAGGTGTGGCTCCCTGGGCCACGTCAAACACATGTAAAAGTATGAAACTCCCGCCCTTGAGCCAAAACCACAACAAACAAGGGCCTCGGGCAGGTAGAGCACAGGACTGAATGCATATAGCTAACACCGGCTATACTCTTCTGTCCTGAAACTACATGCATCGAGACCGCATGAGACTGCGAGTCGAATCAGAAAGAAAAGAATCATCACACAAAGACTCCAAGGGATCCAACAAGCCTCCCTCGTCTGCAATGGCGGCCTCCACGGGTGCATCTGCGAAAGCACCCTTGCCGTCGCGCTGCCTCCGACGTCCAATTCGGGGCATCTCATCAAAAGTACACTTCCAACGATGTGTAGTCAAACACTATTCCATCACATGCCGAGCTGGATATCCCGGTTTCGTCAAACTGTCTGCTAACATAGCTAGACCATTCGCCCATCGAAAAGAAACGTCCGTGCGCAAAATCTGCTCCTTAATACCTCTGGCCTCCTCACCTGATCTGAAACTGCGCATACCCAGCTGCGGAGACTCTGACTTTAAAAAGCGCGTCGTAAATGCCACGTGAATCTGTAATGAGCATGTCTGGTACTGTCTTGACTGTGTCGTCCAACTTCCAACGAGTCGGCTCAACTCCATGTAACTCTGCCCACATCAATCTGGATAACCACAGCATCTCGTCACCGAACGCGGTTGACTGCGTCTAGTTGCTGTTGGAACCCAATATTTTACGAGGTAGCTTGAAAGATCTCCAACCGAGTAGCGAAACATTTGCAATGCTACCATTCGCAAAGTCCGGACTCGAGAGGCCTGTCACCAGCCCGCCAAGTCTTGCCGCCGTCGGGCCTGAGCTTGTCACTAGCATCGGCCCACTGCAACATCCATAACTCATGCCAGTCGTAGTTCTCAAACTGGTGGAACTTGATCACCTGCGAAGCGGGTTTTCGCATCTCCTTGACAAGCTTATTGGCGTTCACCAGGTCACTGATCTTGGCGTTGTTGACTTGAGATAAAGCCAGCCCAACATCCACCGCATATTGTGGAAACATTTGTTGTGCTCTCCAACTGGCTGTACCTAGTACTCCACGAAGTAGTGAAATCTCTTTCGGCTCGAGTGGTAGATGAGCCTGCTTCTTGCGATCAGCGTCGATCTCGGCCTCCATGATGAATTTGATCGTGTAGTCGTAGAGGTCCAACGTGATCGAAAAATCCTTGAACTGGCGGACGCGTAGTCCACTGAATTCAGCCTGGCCGGAAGTCCATGCTCCCCATCGGTAGAGGTCCCTGATGGCCTTCTCCGCGTCCTCGTACAACTTCGACGTCTCGTCGCCACCGATGATGAAGTCACCCACGTGGACGCCAATGATACCCTTCAATTGGTTATTGGAGTCCAACACAATCCATACGCATTGGTCTGTGCGTAGCTGTCGCCAACCTCGGTCACGAAGTTTGCGTGATATATCAAGCCACTATGCCTTCGGAGCCGATGTCAAGCCATAGAAGGACTTGGCCATCTTCAAAATCTGCGAGGGACGCCCAAGTTCACCAGGAAAAGAATGAGCCACTTCCGTAGGAACCTTCGCATTGAGACTCTCGAACTCCTCGCTCGCATCGGTCTGGAGGAAAGCTGAACTGACATCGCCGAACTTAAGCTTGAACTTGTGCTGTGCGCGCACCTGGGACAGCATATTGCGAGCCAGCTTCCCCAGCGTAGGCGCCGCCGTAGCGAGATCCGTCAGGCTCGGGTGCTGGTAGCCCAAAATGACTAAGCGAGCCTTCGGCTTGCGTGCGCCACCCTCCCGGTGCCTGTAGGTGAGAACCCAGCGCATCTTGAGCAATCGCGACTCGTCAATCTCAGTGAGCTCCTCCTGGGCGATCCGCTTCAGGACCTTGGTTACAATGACTTGGCTGATCTCCTTGCACATAGCCTCGTCAAACACGAGCTGCTGCCCAGGCGCCAACTTGGAATAGGTGACCTCTGTCGCCTTGCCGTCGCCTAGCCTCTTGGAAAGCCAGACCGTAGAGTCTTGAAGGAAAGCTCCAATGTGAGCGAAATCGGCGGCGACCTCGATAACTTCACGCTCGATGGTTGTGTCCTTCAGGTAGACCGCGGGCTGATTGTGTAGGTTGTCCCAGGCCTCCAGGTACCTGACCTCGTCCACGAAGTCGCACGTCATGAAATCCATCTCGCCGAGCTTGATGCGCTTGGCCTCTGGCTCCGTTAAGTCACTCACGTTCATCTGCTTCACTAGTGGGGGCCTCCCCTGCAGGATCCTGGTTTCCCGCGAAACCCTCTGCGACCGGCCCGTCCGCAGAGTCGGGTCCCACCCCAAATGGCTCTGCCGGGCTACCCTCTCGGGGAACTGCCGCGGCTTCGTCGCCAATCGGAGCACCTGCAGGGCCACTGGTGATCTCCTCTGGTACCGCCGAGGTCGCTCCTGGTCCATAGGGCGCGTCGTAGGGAGATGCCTTGTTCTTCAAACGGACCCGCCTGATCGGCTTCCAGTCCTGATCATTCTTGATTTGGCCCCCCTGGTGAAGATCTCGGCCTGTTCCATCCTCATCTTCTGGGATAGGTACTCGAGACAAATCTGAAGGATCCTCTCGAGGGACTGGATGTAAGTTTGCCCCGTCGTCTCCAGCCTGAGCACCATCATGGGATTCATGCCGATCTCCATGGCGAAAATCTTCACCTGGTCCTGGTTGCTCTGGTAGGTCTGCAAGGCTCTCGGCAATCTCGCGCTCCGAGGGTAGGTCGCCTGCCAAATCGGAAAACTCACCACGCCCAGCACCTTGAAAAACATGGGAGGCGTTGGTCGGTGAATCCTTGTCAATGGTACCCTTGAGCGAAGCCACGACCACCTCGCGCTGACTGCTCGACCTCAGCTGTGTCGGATGACACCGAATAAGTCTCGTGCCATGCACGATCCACACCACCGAAATCTCGTCCTCGATCGAAGCGGACCCGTCGGCACGTTCACGCTTGAGGTTGACCTTCGGTTCGATGGCCAAAACTCTCGCAGGCCCAAACCACGAACCTCGGGATCCAGTGTTCTTGCCGTGACGGAAGTACATGATCCAGTCGCCGATCTTGATCGAGAGAAGCTTCTGCCTCATGGAGTGCCGAAGCCGAGTCGCCACTGAACGAGCCTGCTCCTCCAGGTAGACCCGCTCGGCCAAACGACGAAGTTCGGCGTGTGCCAAGCCGTCCCCGTCCAGGCGACCAGCCTCTTCAGCAAACTGGTAGCCCTGGTGGCTAGTACCGTGCGCCCACTGGACTGTTGCGTAGCCCGACGCCTTGTGCTGGTTGTTGCGA